CTTCAGCTCAAGGCTAGTGCTCTACCACTTGAGCCACAGCGCCACTTCCGGCTTTTTCTTTTTTGCTTATGTGGTGCTGAGGAATCGAACCCAGTGCCTCAGGCATGCAAGGCAAGTGCTCTACCATTGAGCCACCTTCCCAGCCCTTGTATGTTTTTATTTGTGATCGTTATTTTCTTCTCATTAACAAGATCCTTCTGTTTCTATATGAGCCTGTGTTTAGATAAACAAATGGCACCATCTCATTTTTGTAGAAAGCAGGTCAGCATCTTGTTCTGATAACTGAGACCAGTTAGACTACTGTAATTACACAGATGGCCATGACTTGTTCTTGTTGTTCCTTCCTCTGAGCACCTGTTCTCTTCCTGTTATGATGGGGTTTAAATTATGACAGAGCTAGCCAGGCTCTGCATGGTGTGGGGCTGTTCAGGGAAGTGCTTTCCTTGTGGGTACTGTGGCTTTGCTTCCTGGGCAGCCTCCTCTCTCTCTCCCTGGCTCCTCCCTACCTTCAGGTGGTGCTGATTAGTTGGAGATGACTCGCTTGAATTCGTCTGCCTGGGCCGGCTTCATCCTCAGATCTCAGCCTCATGAGCAACCTAGCCACAGTGGCCAGTTTCATGTCTGCTTTGAGTCAGGCTCTGACATTTGCTTAGTTTTTCATGTCATCTATTTTCCTGAAAAATTGTAGTCAACAGAATTTGTTATATCTCATTTCAGGATTTACACTTGAGATTTGAGAATAAAGTCTACGTGGCCACAGTTGGCTCTTCTCTTCCCCTTCCTGTATTCCAGATATGAGGAAGTACCTGGAGAACATTTCCTCATCTGACTCTGAGAAGTGTGTGGTCAGAGCAGAGTTTGAATGTAATCTGTTTGCTACAAGTAAATAGCTACAGGCTATCTCCTATAAGTTCCGTCTGCTTATCTATAACTAGAGATGTTTGGAATATATTATCTCAGGAGGCTATTGTAAAAGTCAAGTGTTTAATGTGTGGAAAGAGCTGAGCCTGGAGCTTAGCACAAAGTAAATGCTCAATGTAGGTGTCAAAAGAAAAAGATACCCCAACATACTCGGACCTGTAGCTTTAAAGTGATATGTGTGGATTTGCTTCCTTCCGTCTTCCAGAAGTGTGAGGGAGGGTGTAGAAAACCCAGAAACCTGGGTTGGTAGGTCTGGCATCAGGCCACTGCCATGTCCTTCATCCTGCTGCCGCATGGTCCCTGGGAAGACCCTGTTAGCAGCTCTGCCTCCCAAAGAAGGTTGTTGGTTCCAGACACACGCTTGAGTATCACCCAAGAATGCAGACACCCTACAGGTCTGCCTTGGACCTCGGAGGCACAAATCCAGGCAGTGTCTGAAATTAAGAATGATTTATGAAGAAGCTTTTGAACAGGCCATGTTCGGTATCCTCATGGGGTAGCCAGATGGAGTAAAAAGTCTCCAGCTGTCTTACAGAGATTTAAATTTTGCAAGTCACTAATTTTCATTTTTTAGTTGTGGGGCTTGAACTCAGGGCAGGGCTGAGCTCTTCAGCTCAAGGCGCAATGCCGCTCTGAGCCACAGCACTTTTTGGTTTTCTGGTGGTTAGTTGGAGATGAGTCTCACAGACTTTTCTGCAGAGTTGGTTTTGAACGGTGATCCTCAGATCTCAGCTTCCTAAGTAGCTAGGATGACAGGTGTGAGACACCAGCGCCCAGCAAAGTCACTTATTTTTAAGAAATGAAAGGGCAGGTTTAATTAGAAACAATGTGATTTGTTGTTTGAACATAAAGAGCATGCAAAGTGCACACTTTGGAGATATTTTGGGGAAGGCAGAGGAATATAAAGCACAGCTGACATCTCTGAACATTTCAGGCATTTTCCAGGTTCTCTGTTTTGCAGTTGTGGCCCATCACAAAATTTTTATAAATCTCAAAACTGGATCAACCTAAAACATGCCCCATTTCAGTGCTTTCCCCACCCCCTGCCCCTGTGTAGTTTGGAGTCAGGGCTGGCTTTGAGTGGCTTGGGGTCCAGGGGAGTTGCTCCAGAGTTTCAGGGTATCTTTCTGGAGGCAGACTAGGGGTGCATGTGTGGTTGTCTCGAACGTGTTTTATTTTTGTCTGGTATTTTTCCCCCTTACTGATGGCGCTCTACCACTTGAGCACCTTTAATCAATCAATGACAAAGTGTATCACAGAGAGTTTGTAACATTTACAAAAGTCTGGAGAGCATAATTAAGCCTGTAATTGGACACCTCACTTCTGCTCACAAACCTTGTATATATCCAGTTCATTTTCTAACTTTTTGGCTACTTTTGTTTCCCTGGCTTGGGATCCAGGCTCGGGCATTCTGTGATGGTTGATAGGTCTTTATCAGTTATTTTTGGTTGATATGTCTTCCGTTTCTTTTAAAATTTAGTAGTTTGGATCTGCAGCTTCTTTCCAAAACTCCTTTCTTGATAGAACAAATTACTTTTTCTCAGCAGTACTGGGATTTGAATTAGGCTGCTGGGCAGGTGCTCCATTGCTTGAGCTACTTCCACAACCCTTGTTTGCTTTAGTTCATTTTTAGGTAGGATCTAGTGTTTTAGACCAAGACTAACCTTAGACCAGATCTTCATACCTATGACTCCAGGTACCTAGGGTGATTCTCAACTCCTTGGTTGAGATGGGATCTTGCTAACTTTATGCTCCTCCTGGCCTCCAACTGCTGTCTTCCTGATGTGTGTATCTGAGACTACAGGAGTGAGACACTGTTTGTTCCTGGTCCCTCTTTCTCTTTGCACTGCCTGCAATGATCAGGGTGGTTTGTCTGCTAAATCCAGGCAGCACAGGTCATCTAGTATTTGTTTTTATCTGTTTGCTTGTGGCATTTCCACTTTAATAAAAGTCCACAGTGCACTGGGAGGGGACAAGCCACCTGGGATCATACTTCTGTTTTGTTCACTTTGGTCCCCAACTGCTGGTGACTTCGGCCTGCTGCCCAGGCACCTTGGCCCCGAGGGCCTTTGGCAGCTATGCTGGGGCCACGTTAGCAGGGAGCCTGAACCAGGGCCAGTAATCTGTGGTGTCCTGGGTTGCCCTGTAGGAGACTTGTGCTCAGGCAGGTGTCTGCCCGTGTTGCAAAGCTCATGTGCTGACCCCGCTGTCCTTTGACAGGGGCCACGTCACTGGGTGGGATCTGGAACAGCTTTGCCACTGAGCCTGCAGAAACTGTTCAGCTCTGGGCAAACTGACCTTGACTGCCATGTGCTTGAGTTTCTGTCACCAGAGCAAGTGCCTTGGCTTCATGGGCTAGAAATAGAGACACTGCAGTAGCTTACATTTTATGTAACATTTCTTTCCCTACTCCCGTGCACTGTCCTGTGAATACTGGAAGAAGGCGGCTTTGGAGAACGGCTTTGAAAGGGAATTTTTGAATGCACAGTAATAAAAGTCTTGTGTGGCTTTCTGTTCCAATGTTTTTTGTTTCTTTTGCTGTGCAACAACAGTTCACCAACATTTAAACCCGTCTGTTCTGTCTTCTTTCTTTCTGCTTCTTTCCCTTTTTAAATGTAGCTGCAGACAGTAAGGACGAAGAACTCAAAGTCCCCCCCACGCGGTCCTGTCTGGGTATGTACTGCACTGCATGAGGCTCCACTGCTGCTAGCTCTGTGTCACTGCCTGCGGCTTGTCTCTGCTAGTCATCCATCCACGCCTCCCTTTCCGCGAATGGCTTCACCAAGCATGGCCTGCCCACAGCACACTCACAGCCATAGCAGTACTGCTTCCGTGAAAAGTATGTAGAGCCTGCTGGGGTGTGGGGGAGAGGGAGAAAGGAAGGAAGGATGGGTGGAGAAAATTCCAGATTGTAAGCTTTAAATGTTTTCCAAACGAATTCCTTTTTATATTATTGAAAATGGAATCTTTCTAATTCCACCCTGAGTTTTTCATTGCTACTTTGTAGAAATAACATTGATTTTTACATATTGATCTTGTATCCTGCAACTTTTGTTTGTTTTCTTGAAATAATGAAGATCAAACCCTGGGTTTTGTGCATGCTGGGCAGGCACTCTACCACGGAACCACATACCCAGCCCTTTTTGCTTTCATTACTTTTAATAGCGTCTTGCTTTTTGTCTGGGCCGGTCTATGCAGAGACCCTTTTGTTTATCCTTTTGCCAGAGCTGGGACAGTAGGTGTGTGCCAACACTCACAATGTTTTCTGATGACCTGAGAACTAGTGAACTTTTTGCCCTGGCTGGCCTTGAACCGAAATGCTCCTGAGTAGCTAGGATTATAATCATGAGCCCTCCTCCCACCCCTCCCATGGCCTGTCCTGGTATGTTGTTTTCTTGTGATGACTTTAATATATCCTAATTATAAGGACTGTATTATCCTAAATATTAGCTTTATAAAATAAATTAGGATATGAGAGTTTGTGAAGAATTAGAGTTAATTCTTTTATCTAGTGAATTCATCTGGGCCTGGGTTTTTTTTTTACAGGAAGGTTTAAAGTTAGGAATTCAGTCTCTAGTTACAAATCAATCCAGATTCATCAAAATTAGGGTCCATGAGATTCCTATCTCCTATTTTTTTTCTTGTAACCTTTTACGTTTTGTAATATTTGATAATGATCCTTTTATTCTCAACTGGCAGTTTGAAACTTTTTATTAAATCATTCTCGTTTTGTTATTTTGTAAGGAACAAAATTTGATTTTTCTATTTTTTGTTTTCTATTAATAATTATTTTTATTTTCTACTCTAATAATTATTGTTTTCTTCTGCTTTGTTGGATTTAGGTGGCTCATTTTCCAGGTTTTTTTTTTGTTGTTGTTGTTTGTTTTGGTCAGTTGTGGGGCCTGAACTCTGGGCCTGAGCGCTGTCCCTCAGCTCTTCAGCTCAAGGCTAGCGCTTTACCACTTGAGCCACAGCACCACTTCCAGCTTTTTCTGCTTATGTGGTACTGAGGAATCAAACCCAGGCCTCATGCATGCAAGGCAAGTACTCTATCACTGAGCCACCTTCCTAGCCCTCATTTTCCAGTTTTGTAACATTGAGAGTTAGATTGATCTCTTTCCCTCCCTCCCTCTCTCCCTCGCTTTCCTTCCTTCTTTCCTTTTTCTTGTCCCTCCCTCCTTTCTCTTTCCTTTCTTTTCTTTTTTCCCTTCCTCCCTTCCCCTCCTTCCTCTCTTCCTTCCTTCCCTCCTTCCCCCTCCCCTCCTTTCTTTGTGAACTCAGGGCCTGGGTGCTGTCCATAAACTTCTGTGCTCATGGCTAGGGCTCTTCTACTTCTGGCTTTTTTTTCCTTTTTCTTTTTTGATAGCTAATTGGAGAAAAAGTCTCTTGGAGGTTCTGCCAGAGCTGGCTTCTAACTCAAATCTGAGTAGCTAGAGTTAGAGGTGTAAGCCACTGGTGCCCAGCCTGTATTGTTCTTTCTCACTTTGAAATGTAGTTGCTTATAGTCCTATTTCTCTGTAAATAGTTCTGGAAATGCACTATGAGTTTTGGTTATGTGGTTCTGTTTTTATTCACCTTAGTTTCTCATTTCCTTCCATTTCTTGACCCATTTGTCATTTAGGAACATGCTATAATGTCCATATTTGATGAACTTCCCACATTTCTTCTATTTATTTCTACTTTAATTCCATTGTAATTGTATAACATAACACACTTTGATTCCAGTACTTCTAAATTGTACTTGGTTTTGATGGCCAGTGTGTGGCCTGTCCATGTGGGTGTGAAAAGAGTTGGCTTTGCTGTTGGTAGAGCTGAGGTCCCTGTCCAGTCAGTGATTGACAGTGTTCTTCAGTCTCTCTTCCCTGATTATTGAACCCATTACAAAGTCAGATAAATGAAGTTTCTATTTTTAAATGGTCTTTCTCCTTTTTCATTTCTGTCAGTTTTTGCCTCATATATTTTGGGGCGTTTGTTAGGCACATATACATTCATGATTGTTGTATTTTCCTGATGGATTTGTCACTTTTTGTTCTAGTGGTACTTTTTATTGTAAAGCCTGTTCTGGTAGTAGCGTTGCTACAGATCTCCTGTGGTTATTTGAGTGGTTAATTGTTAGCTTTTAACTTTTTTTATGTCTCTAAACCTGAATTCTGTGTAAGACATCATATAAGGATTTAAACTTTCAGTCAGTTTTGCCCTTCGGTCTAATATTTGATTCATATTTAAGGTTTGGATTTACACTTGCAGTTTTACTTTTTTTTTGGTCGGTCATGGGGCTTGAACTCTGGGCCTGAGCCCTGTCCCTCAGCTCTTCAGCTCAAGGCTAGTGCTCTCCACTTCCGGTTTTCTGGTGGTTTACTGGAGATAAGAGTTTCACGTACTTTCTTGCCCAGGCTGGCTTTGAACCGAAATCCTCACATCTCAGCCTCCTGAATAGCTAGGATTACAGACGTGAGCCAACGCCCGGCGCAATTTTACTTTTTGTTTCCTACATGCCCATCACTTTTCTTTAATCCATTGTTCTTTTATTGCCTTCTTTTGTATTAGTGAATATTTCCCAGTATAATATTTTAATTCCTTTAGTGACCTTCACCACTTGAAGTTCCTTTTTTAATAGTTACTCTAAGGCTAATTCCTTTAAATTTATGCTAATTGGTGACATATGGAAATCTTACTGCCAGGTGCTAGTGGCTTACGCCTGTAATCCTAGCTACTCAGAAGACTGAGATCTGAGGATCACAGTTTGAAGCCAGCCCAGGAAGGAAATGCTATGCAACTCTTATTCCATTTTACCACCAAAAAGCTGGAAGTCAAGTGGTAGAGCACTAGCTTTAAATAAAAAAGCTCACATATGTGCCCAGGTCCTGATTTCAAGGCCAAGATTACAGGTCTAAGCCACCAGCTGTGGCTGTCTTTAAAAGTCAGTTAAGAGAAGAAAGGATCAGAAGAAACTGAACCTATGCGTTCAGTTTACCATTGATGTCACTTGCTTCCAGTACAGAGAACCAACTTCAGTGTTTCCTGATGGCAACAAATTCTCCCAATTCATACTTGTCAAAGGGAGTCTTTATTTTTAAGGATAAGCTTTGCTTGGTGTGAGAATCTTGGCTAACAGTCCTTTTCTCCTTAGCCATTCTAGACTCTGGTATCTGATGAGAAGTCAGAGGTTACTCTTTCTAGGTTTCCTGTGTCAAGTCACTGTCCTCCTGCCGTTTTTACCATCCCTCCCCACCCCCTAGTACTCAGCACTTGGGCTGTGGGGAGTCAAGGTGTGGATGGATCTCTGTGGAGTTAACTAGACTGCTTGCATGTATGGGTTACTAGTTTCATCCACTTTTAGTAACAATCTCTGGAGAATTTTTCCTGTTCCTCCCTTCCTTCAGGGTGCCTATGGCACCATTGTTGCTCACTTGATCTTGACCCATGTTTCTTAGCCTCTCTTTTTCTTGCATTTTCTTTGTTTTTCACACTATATAACCCTAAACGATCCATCTTTAAGAACACTGATCTGTCCACTCAGGTCTGCTGTCTAGTTCTTAACGACTTCACTCATAGTTTTCGTCCCCTGGATTCCTACTGGGTTCTTCATGATTTCCCTACTTATGCTGATGTTCTTTCTCTGTTTGGTGAGATGCTTTCATTGTGCCTCTTCTTTCTAATTGCTTTAGGTTCCTTTAATTCCTTACATATATATAAAATAGCTATTTGGGAGGATTTTGTTAGTTGTTTTTTGTTTTTTTTTGGTCAGTCGCAGGGCTTGAACTCTGATCCTGGGCACTGTCCCTCAGCTCTTCAGCTCAAGGCGAGCGCTCTACCACTTGAGCTACAGCGCCACTTCCAGTTTTCTGGTGGTTTATTGGAGTCTCACGGGCTGGCTTTGAACCGTGATCCTCAGATCTCAGCCTCCTGAGTAGCTAGGATGATAGGCATGAGCCACCGGCACCTGGCGTTTTCCTGCCTTTTGCAGATCTCCATTTTCTTTTTGTTTAAAGTGGACATTATAGGTACATATTGTGGCAGCTGCAGGCAGTGATCTGCCTGGGGAAGATTGGCTTGTCTGCTGGTGCCCTGATTTGACTGGATTGGATAGTGGCTGGGTGGGACAGCAGCCGGGTGGGACAGTGGCTTTATGAGACAGTGGTGGACAGGATAGTGGCTTCAGCAGCTGGACGGGACAGTGGCTGGACGGGACAGCGGCTGGGACAGTGGTTAGACGGGACAGTGGCCGGATGGGAGAGTCTGAGCCTGACCACCTGCAGGTAGTTCTGACGGGCTGGGCTGGCTTTGGCTTTCCCTGATGCCTCATCCCTTGTAAGTTCTGGGTGTTGTGCTCCGGTTGTTGTTGTGCTCCAGCCCTTGCCCTCCATGCCGATAGTGTTTGCTCTGATGATTGGTCTTGCTGCAGCTGGGCCCTGCACCACAGTGAACAGAGATGGTCATTGATCACAGCTCTACTTTCAAAATGTCTTAGCTGCCCACTTGCTGGTTCTGTGTCACTGGACATGGAGGTGACTGGCTTCCTCTTCCTCACAGTTTGTCAGCACCCTGGAGGCTCTACGTGCTTGTTCCTTGGGGACAGCCTTGCCGCTCTCGGTGCTCATCCCCACACCCAGGGTGGAGTTCTTGACACTGCTCTGGACCTGGAGGCCAGGGCAGCAGCGCCCCCCAGGACA